AACATGATGGCCATCCCTGGTTGAGAACATATTGGTCTGTCCAAGCTGAAGATCTCAGCATAATCTTACTGATCTGAGAACATTTCTTTCCAGCAATAGAGACATGCTGCATTTCTATTGTGCACAGATGAAATATTCCTTAGTATTTTTAGCTCAAAAATCTTTCCACAGCTCTCTGATGTTTAAATAACTAGCTGAAGTGAAATTGTCTCTCAGATACAAAGAAAATAACAGCACAATTATCTGAGAGACTTACGAAGGTAGCAGGAGAGACAAAGTATAGTGTATTCAAAACTTTCACAATGTGCCCTCCAGTTCCTCCTGAAGTGATACAATTTAACCAATGCCATATGAGACAGCGCATGTTACCTACGATTATCATATGTGAGGGGAAACTGAGGCATATCTACATGCATGTCTGAATACCCTGGGAAAGAGTGGAATTCACGCGACTGAATTCAGGCAGATTTAATTTCTCCTTCCCAAGAACTGCAGATGATCATTCTCATCTGTTCAATCCAACAACAATTTAAGAGTTCTGTTAAGTTAAAGTAACAGTTTTTCACTCTGAAACTGTTTCAGTTTACCAAACAGTATCAAAGCATGACCTGTTGGGGTTGGGGAGGACAGGGGAATGTATGTATATACGGTGGTATACGGCAAAGATATTATCCACTCCTCCTCACCCACACACACATATATACATATATTCTGTACTGATGTCATCTAATTACATTTAAATAAAAAAAACAGTGCATGTTTTAGTGGCTATATCATGGATACTGGAGGCAATTGAAAGGTAAATTCACTGAGGTTATTTTGGAAAATATGTAATTATGGGGGTGGAAGAAATGCAGTCCTGAATGGACAGTTCTCTAGGAAACTCTGAGATGGAAGCTAAAGAAAATAGGTGAATTTTTCCAACCAGTGAATCAAGGATGCCAACCTTCCCCTCCCTCACTATCCCCCCTCCAAAAAAAGATCCCCCCAAAACCCTTGAAAACATTTAATTGTCCTTTACTGGCACTCTGAACTCAAATTTTACAACGTTCATTTGATCTCTGAGTGAAGGACACCTCCATGTGGAGATCTCACCCCTTCTATCCAGAAAGGGGCTCTGCTGCCTCAGTGGGACCATTCTCTCTTCCTCCAGACCCGGTGGAGCTTTTTCAGTGCAGACCAGGGTCCACAATGGGGGAGGGGCAGGCAGGGCTGGCTCCAGGCACCAGTTTAACAAGCAGATACTTGGGGTGGCCAAGGGAGAGGGGCGGCACCTGAGGCAATTCGGGGGCGGCAGGTCCCTCACTCCCTCTAGGAGCGAAGGACCTGCTGCTGAACTGCCGCCGCTGATTGTGGCTTTTTTTTTTTCCCCAATTGCCACCGCCGATCGCGGCTTTTTTTTTTTTTGCTTGGGGCAGCAAAAATGCTGGAGCCGGCCCTGGGGGCAGGACACTGAGCAGAGCCGTGGCATGGAAGAGGCTGGTTGGAAGGGAACAGCCATCATCTTCTGTTCAGACCCATGGACCATAACCAGAGAAGGTTACACAGATGTGATTCCATTGAAGTCACAATGCCCCCAAGTTTGAGGGGAGGCCTTGCTCCCGCTTCTGCAGGGGGAGGGGTAACTCCTCTATGAAATTCAGGATTCCACACTTTCCTTGTAGCACCTGCAGAGCTTGGTTCCAAACAATGTCATAGGACACTGTCAAACAGATAATATGAAAATAAACCTGCTTTAATGAGATGAATGCAGCTGGGTGCATTTCTCCCCATTTTGCATCTGTCTAATTATTTCTGCTCCCTGGGTGGAAGACTTTACCAATTATTTGATACTTATTCTCCTCTCATTTACCTGTAGCTTCTGCTACTCTCACTCCAGCACATTTAGCAGTTTGGTTCTCTTCTCTATAGCTACTAACTCCATCATATTTGGTGTCATCCACAGAACTGATTGCAGCTGTATTTACAGATACAAAAGACAAAGCAGATACACAGGGTGCATAGAGGTTCGTTTGTTTGTTCTTTTATTGGACTACATCTAATAGGAAGCACCACTGTTTGATTACCTGCAGCTGCTTTTTGCCACTGTGAGAGAAGGTGGTGTGTGGGCCTCAGAGTGCTGTGCAGACCACAGTCTGAATGTTGTCTGATATGACAACATCCCCACCCTAGCTGACATGTTTGAGGGGCTGTACGTATTTTCCCTAGGTTATGTGGGTCAGAGATATTTTTTTAAAAAATGAATGAAGTGAACCTTACAGAAAGAGAAACAATTACCTCCTAGAAAGCCTTCCCAGGGCAATTTCTTCTGCAAATGAAAGAAACACTTCCAAACAGGAAAGACCTAGGAATGAAAATAACTGATTTTGAGATTCAGTTATTAAAATGTTTACTATTCCCACTCTACCACATCTTAATGTAACAGTAGGGGAAAGCTGCAGACATAGCAAGAAGCTGGAGGAAAGGAAACAAAGGAGCAACGGGAAAAGAACAGACTGTTCAATCTCATTTAGAACAAAAGAAAACTACTCCAGGGGGCTGGATCAATGGTTCCTGACCCCAGTAAATTTGAAAATGATATGTCTAGAAGGTACAGATGAGTACTGAAGAGGGAATGTGGAAGCAAAAGAGATTTTGAACTACTTTAGTGTTCATGCCTGATTATTTGCTAGTAGTGGGATAAAAACAGAGGTAGGACTCAGAAAGGTTATAGCATAACAGAACCCTAAATTATTCCCTGGGGATTTACAATCCAGAGAGAACCAGGATAAAAACTAGATGATCACCTCTTTTAGTGGCAGTAAAACTGACACTCACTGACTCACTGGGGGAACCCCCCCCTCACCATCACTGTACATTTCAGTTATGTAAGAATATGGGGATTATACTGTTGGAGAAACCCATGCAGAGAGTAGACACTAGATATGATTCCTATTCACAGAACTTTCTGAAAAGAAACAGCACACCCAGGGAGTAAAATTAGTTAACGATTGGTCTTTATCCTGTGTGTAGTTGTGATCCTCTGTAACCATAATATGAATGAAAAAATAGGAAAATAGGAAAGCTTTATTTCAAAAAACCATCCTTGCTTAGTAAGCCAGAATTACAGGAAAGAAAAAGCTTTCAATAATAGGTTTGGGTTAAAGTGCCAACAATAATCCAAGAACTAACTTGGGGTATGTTTCTTCATATTTATCCATGTGTGACAACAGTACAAAAAACTTTACAGTGGTGCAAAACGGGAATCCATACAGAAGAAGTCTGACCTAAGGCTGCCTTGGGTGGCAGGATGTTTTAAATATGGTGTATTTTTTAACTACATGGAATATATTTCAACAGTATGTAGAAGTGTGTAGCACGTGGAGAGAAGGATATAATTGATCACTGTCATTGCCTTTGCTTTTAAAGGAAACGATTTCCTCTTCAGTGCTGCGCAATCATCGTTTGAGAAGCAATCATTCAATGAGTGTGTTGCTGGCATGTGGACTTCGTGTACCAGTCCTTAAATAAATCCCCACAGATCAAAATATGCTGCACTGTAATATATGCATTCTCTGCCTTCAGTAGATGGAACATTTGTCTTTGAGAAAAGTCACATTGTAAAGAAATAATGTGCTCCGGGCTAATGCGATTCTGTAGCATTTCACCTCAATGCACCCTTCCACTGCTTCAAATATTCTTTACATTTATAGTGATGGATAAAAATTATAGGAAAAGAATGTAAACACAAATGAGAAATACTTCACCAATCCAGTTTGCATACAATAGGAGGCTCTATTAACTCAAGTCAATATAGCTCTGAGTTTTCTATAAGGATCTTAAAGCTTGAATACCAATAGCGGGAGAGTGATTTTTCTCATACTTCCATTGCGCCCCCTTATGGAAGCAAAGACACCAGCCAAAACGAAACACCTCAGCTCCAGTTTAAAGAAAGCAGCTACACAAAATATCGTATCACTTGAACCGCATACATTTGTACTGTCTGTATGTCGTTTTTTTAAAAATGTATATACCACAGTTTTTACCCACCTAGAATCTGTTCTCATTATGTCCTGGAGAGTGGGACTGCGGGGAAATCCCTATCAATATTGTGCAACACTGGTGCCAAAATATAATTCCTATATCATAGGAATATTTTTCATTACCCTATAGCACACTTAAACTTTCAGACATTATATATGTATACTATATAATTTAGGACACACGAAATAGCCTAAAGTCTAGCTATTAGTGTGTCCTAAATTAAAAAAAAAAATCTATGGAAAATATACATAACCCCCGCCCCCCCACCAACCTTTGATGGCACAAAACATCGGTTCCATATAAATCAATATACATTTTATTCCCTCGCATTGTTTGTCGAGCAATTAGTAAAATTCGGCAACACATTTACAGAGGGGAAGTATGTAAAATGATTATGGGGTGATCTCAAGGGATACTGGGGTAAGATGTTCGCCCTTTTAATATAGCTCCCTTTCCCAGAGCATCTTTCTTGCATCTTGTACAGTGCATCTCATTGCCAGGTGATCACTCCTTTTTAATGCACACGCACATTTACCTTATTCCCCATAAAGAACTAAAACTGCCCTATCTTTCGGGTTGCTTTGTGTATGACAGAACAGGTGAGCCGAACACCGGGTTGCTCCGTATGTAGAACGTTTCTGAACTGATTTCTGTGTGCGTCAAGGAGTGTGGAGCAGCGCAGCGCAATTAGTGAATCGCGTCAGTTTCACTCAGAACTGAGTATCTGGGGGCGGGGGCTGTGGAGGAGGATGAGGCGAAGGGAGGGTAATTCATTAAGAGACAATCACTCTACTTTTGTGACATCACCCCACTGCTTATATACTTAGGGAATGGTCCAGGGCTCCCCTTATGGTTCAGACATTCACAAGTCCGCTCAAGGCAGCGAGGGAAAGAAGCAGGTGTACTTTCTCTCTCTTTCTGTCTGTGTCTGTCTCTCTCATCTCTTCTTCTTAGTATTTATGGACTTTACTTTCTAGAGGGCTGAAGATGGCAAGAATGAGAATTCAACTGGTGTGCATGATCCTGCTGGCTTTCACCTCCTGGAGTCTGTGCTCAGGTAAGCTTTGAAACTTTTTTAGGATTCCTTCCTAAGCTGTGAATTGGTGTGGGGGGCTCTCTGCTCCTGTCCCCAAACCTGTCTCTGTGGTTAGTTATCAGATTGTTCCTCGGCTGATGGGCATTTAAACCCAGGAGGAGTGGAAGTCTTTTTTTTTAAAAAAAGGTTTTACATCTGACTAGTCATTTTCAGGTGATAAGAGCTAACATGTGTACTAGCCCCTCAGATGAGATCAAAAGAAACACAGTGAGTTAACTCTAGACTAAGGTTTATATATGTTCACACACACACACACACACACACACACACACACAAACCATCCCTGATAAGTGTTGAATGACAGTTTTTCTGTCATTGCCATGAGTTCCTCCCTTCACATTCACCTGCTCTTTCACGCAGCATCAATATTAGATTTTTTAAAAAGTTATAGAATAGCCCTTGAGAAGCATAATGAGATGTGACCATTCACTTTGTAACAAATGTTGAAAGTATTTGTGATCTATGGAATGTTGTGGTGTTCTCTCAAATATCCGAGGCAATATCTTTTCTACAGCTCATATGAAGCCTTGACAAATCCTAACCAAAATGGCTATACATGTACTTAAAATACATATTTCATATCCATCAATGATGCAGATACAAAAACTGAAGCTGCAGTGTTAAAATAATCGTTACCAAATTATCTGAAGGGGAAAGAAAGCTGCAGATTTACATCAATGCAAAACCAAATCACACCATAGGAGGATAAACTCAAGTGACTTTCTACTCCAAGTGTAATTGCTTTAAATAGCCAGAGGATAACAGATGACCTGTAACACTTGTTTAGTTTATAGTTTCTTTTGGGAAAATGACATAGCTAAGTTTATACACAAAAATGTAATGGCTTTTATAGCCACACAGTCACTCACATATGCATATGCAGCAGAGTAGATTTCAAAATACAGACTTGTTAAATTACAAAATAGCTTAATACTTTATTAACATGATTTATGATACTATATTCACAGTGTCAGGTAGGGTCTAGGTGTACTTACTTGCCTGCTTCATCATGAAGCGAGAAAATAGATTAGATGACCTTGAGGCCCTACATTCCTATGATTCTATGAAATGCTAGTAAAGTAAAAAATAATACACAAAGGGTACGTCTACACTTACCTCCGGGTCCGACGGCAGGCAATCGATGTTCTGGGATCGATTTATCACGTCTTGTCTAGACGCGATAAATCGATCCCGGATCGATTCCGGAATTGCTCGCCGTCGACGCCGGTACTCCAGCTCGGCGAGAGGAGTACGCGGCATCGACGGGGGAGCCTGCCTGCAGCGTCTGGACCCACGGTAAGTTCGGACTAAGGTACTTCGAATTCAGCTACGTTATTAACGTAGCTGAATTTGCGTACCTTAGTCCGAAGTGGGGGGGTAGTGTGGACCAGGCCAAAGAAATTATAACCCTCACATTTCAACTTTCAGAATTCTATTTCACAGTGTATTCAGGAGCACCGGGCTCTGTCCGTTAGATTAAACTTTTATATTGGTAGCACATTAGCATTGTTCTAGATGATAAACTATTATTCCCTAACAAGAGCTTAAAGGAATACTAACAAAAATGTTTTGAAGAGAATAACTAGTAAACTAGGTATTAGCATTTGACAGTGTGAGAAGTGTAAGCAAAACCTGACACACACTAGATCTTTGGCTCTGATCCTACTCCTGTTTAAAGAGAAAGGAATATTGCTGTAAACTTGTTTGCAGCAGGATCAGTTCCTCTGTTTCACAGAATAGCAAAGCAGTGAGAATAATGATAATTCTTGGTTTTTATGTAGCACTTTTCATGCATAGATCTTAAAAAAGCATTACAAAAAAAAAAAGGTGACAGTTAACATCAGTGATGCAGGATCAGATCCTAGCACCTGCAGTAGCACCTGATCCAATGCCCAGTAAAGTTAATAGAAAGTCTCCCATTGATTTCAATAGACATTGGATTGGGTCTATAATGAAGAAAGCGGGACATACCATAATTAAAATGATTTATTTTGCTTAAAAATATGAAAATGTGGACCTGGGACAGAGATTAGCTCAATGTGGAAAGCATTGCACTGTTTTTAGCTAAGACACAGAACATGTATTTTAATTTTCTTTTGAAAATATGGTTTGTTCTGAGGGGAAAATGTTGCTTGTAAAATTTAAATATATGAGCAAAGTGCAGAATTTCAATCCAGTTAAGGTATGAACCAGCCAGAGGAGAGAAAGGTGTGTACATTTCCCCCTTAAACAATATAGTATGATAAAAACAAACTTTTTGTATTCAGAGCTCTCCATAACTCTGTCCCCATTGCATCCTTGCCCTCAACTCCTCCTGCACCGCTTCCCACTCCCTGTGCTGTCTGCCCATGTCTCTTTTGCCTCCTCCCATTGTCTTTTTCACTGGCTCTTGAATCCATGCTTCTCTCCTTGCCACCTGTTTCACTTGGAATAGCCTCCCAAATAAGGTACACCAAGCTCCCTTGCTCTCTTCATTCAAAACATTTCTTAGCACCTATGCATTCTGTGCAGCATTCCACCTCTCTTGGCCATTCTCTATGCTCTATTTTAAGTCTGTATTTTGTAGTGTAAACTAGGACAGAATCCTAGTAACAGGACTTTTGGTAGGTACTAAGATACTGTGCTGATGACTGGTACAGAGAAGGGCTACTACTGTTATCAGTGGGAATGAAGAACCTATCTTTCAAGAGGAGGCTAAAAAAGTTTGTCTTGTTTAGCTTAGCAAAATGAAAGCTGAGATATGATTACCCTCTATAAATACATGGGGTGAAAACACCAGGGAGGGAGAAGAGCTATTTAAGCTAAAGGACAATGGTGTCACAAGAATAATGGGTAAAAGAAGGTTTCTAACCAAAGGAGTGAGGTTCTGGAACAGTCTCCCAGTAGGAGTAGTCGGGACAAACAGCCTAACTAGTTTTAAAATGAAGCTTGATTATTTTTATGTATGGGAATATATCCTAGGCTTGCCTGCGGTAGCTGGGGACTGGATTGGATGATCATTCAGGCCCCCCCTAGTCTTATCTCCTACATTCCTATGACTAGCAAGGTAGCAGTAGCAACAAAATAAATAAATAATTGAATTAATTTTTTTTTAAAAATCTCTTCTATAGCACTTTTCATCAGTAGATCTCATACCTGGATGTAAATGGGCAACAGATTCCACTCTATAGAACACTTGAATAACAACAAAAACACTGCTCATGTTAATGCAACTGATATTTACAATATATTGTTATGTTTGTTAGGGCACCTAGAGCCTCAGATAAGTTAGTTATTTTTTTTATGTCTAAGTAAATACATTTATGGATTGGCTTTGAATTACTGTTGCTTTTAGGGAGCTACAAAACAATTAAAATAAAATTTCCTTCAACAGAGGTATTTAATGATCTCCAAACATTTACCATACTCTTTGAGTTACGATTGCTATATTTGCAAAGTAGTAGATCTCTGTCACACAATTCAGTGCACAGCAGAATAGAATTCTTTCTGATTGTGCTTCATCCTTCTAAAAGAACGTTTCCCCATCAGATAAGTCATAAGACTTGCTAATATATTGCGCTATGTAGGGTCAACTAAATTAGTAGAAAGAAATTATTTCCACTACATTAAATCTCTCTCTCTCTCTCTCTCACACACACACACACAGTTAAAAGTCAACAGGTCAAATTCTGATCGGTCTGAAATCACTGATGTCAGCAGAATTTATACTGGTATAACTAAAATTAGAGTCTTGCCTAGTAAATATAACTACTATTAATGCATATTTTTTAAAAACTTTACTTAAAACTTTGTCTCTATTATGAAGAAATGTCCCTTTTAAGATAAAGACCTACAAAGTCAGGGTCTAAAAGTTTGCAAAGGTGACAGACAAGCTTGTTCAGATGATAAAAAAATCATATTGACATTGGATGAGGAGATTTGGCAACATTTTTGTTTTACTGAAATGGCTATAGGTTATGAGCCTGATTCAGAGCCCATTGAAGTCAATGGGAATCTTTCCATTGAATTCAGTGACTTTGGATCAGACCCTAGTATGATGGTGAGTGACTGTTTATAAGATGCATCATTAACCTAGGCTGTACTTGTACTAAAAGACCCTTGCAGTCAGTCTTTCTGGATCATATTTTAAGAGAGGAAGATTCTCTACTAGCCCTTTATCCATTATTTAAGTTGAAGAGCTCTTTATGAGATATACCTAAAGCCTATATTCTGAAATCAAATGACTCTGATTTGTGATGAAATAGTACACATGTGTTTCTGATTTATTCCCAGATTCAGAAGAGGAAATGAAAGCGTTAGAAGCAGATTTATTGACCAATATGTATACATCAAAGGTAATTCTTTTTTCTTTTTACCCTTTAGCTGACTTGTAGGGAACACATGAATTCTCATTACAAGCATGGAAGTCTTTGCACAAAGTAATAACAGTCTAGACATAAAAGTTCAGTGCAAGGCATTATTTTGGTGCAAAATTTTCTTCTAGTTCAAAGGAAGTTTAAGTTTTCTGTGTCACATCAACACTTTTAAAGTGTCTCTCACTTGTAATGCTGGTACTTTCATTAAATTATTCAGGTTGTTTTTCATATAAATTTATCAGAAGAAAATGTGTTTCCAATAGGATTATATCTGAATTGATCTTGAATTAATGCCTAAATGAGATGCTATTGTACTTTTTCTACATATGTGTAAAATTAATATTTTCAGAAGACAAAATCTGTTACCAACAGATGTTGTTTTTGGTTTAGGAATAATCTAGTAGTTTTAGTGATTGTAAAGAACATCAGAAAAATAGTCACAAAAATATCTAGTAAATAGTTTCCTTCCTGAGAGGCCAAAGAATCAGCCATAGATTTATTTTCCAAATACGCAGGGTTCAATGATCTCAGCTTCACATAGGTGAAGTATCAAAAATAGAACATACACATTTGACAGGCAGCAGCCAAAAACTTTAATTAAGTGGGAAATATATGCATGTTTCATTCTTCCCTGATAAATGATTTATTTATTTATTTTAAAATAGGATGTTTTATCACTTCTCACAAGAGTGGTCAAAACATTTTGCATTTTAATGGAAAGTTCCCCTGTGGGCTGGTTATTCCACATTTGCTCACCTCAGGGTTTCTCACCCTCTCCCTTTCTGATACCACCTGATACCAGGCGTCAATGGAAACAGGAGAATGGACTAGATGGCTATTCAGTTTGATCCAGTATGGTAATTCCTATATTTCTGTATTCTCAATTAGCAAGGTAACAAGGCCCAGATGTCACACAAACCTGCTTCTTGACTCCTGCTGGTCAAGTAGGGAAAAGATTAGTGGGGATTCTTTTCCTGGGACCAGTTTAGGAGTGGGATTCTGTCAGAAGGATTCTTCCTCTGAGTCCCAAAGGGCTAATACACTCTTGGTGAAGTCTTAGCTCCAATGAAGTCAGTGGGAGTTTTACTATTGATGTTAATAGAGCCAAGATTTCACCACTTGTCACTCTCCCGCATCTCTGACACACAACAAACACTAAAACAGTTGTGTAACGGCTGATTAGGAATGTGCCAAATTGAATCATAGCTGATTTTTGGTATGTGTAGTATTGGGTGAGGCAACTTGCTGTTTAGGCCTCCCTCTGTCCAGAAGGCTGCATAATCCATAAACACAGTTCAAGTGACCTAATAACAACTGTGCCTGTCTTAACAAGTGGACTTGTGATAGGAACATCCCTAACTTAACTTGTGGTGACATAATTGTGAATCTCAGGCTCCTTGACATATTGGGCATGTTCTCTTGACATCCAAGTAAGGTATAGTGAAGCCCCCGAAAAGTCACTTGTAGTTTGCGTGAGATAACACCACTCCAGCAAGGGAGTCTTCACTACTCCACCAATTAGAGGGATAATCAATTCATTTATTATGCACTTTGTGTGGGTTTACAGCATTCATCAGATTAAAACCTAATGTCTAGTGACTATTTTAAGTGTGTAAAAGAATGTGAGGCACATTTTGGGATGGAAGGTGTAGTAGTTAACAGGTTTCAATTCAGGAAGGTCTGGTCATCTGCCACCTCATATCTAATTCCAATGGAGAATAACTACTGTTATTTCTCACTAATCATCTGTGATACGGAGTTGCCAGTCTAACCAAGCAATCTCTAATCATCTTGTTGGCCCTCACATCTTGGAGAAAAAAGCAAACCTGTTTTGGAAAGTCTGGATGTACAACTGTAGCAAAGTAGTTTATCAACCACGTTAACATTGCCTGGCATTCCTGGTACGTCCATAATATATTTTCAACAAGGGCATTCTGATGGTGTAGTATGTCCTAGTGCTCAAATTTTTTAAACTGATTCACAGCTCAAGAATTATCTGTGATTCTAAGCCCTAGCCTTCCTGGATAGTAAGAGAGTAAAGGACTCTTCTTTGATGAGGGGAATCTACAACCCATCATAGAACATGCAATAGTCTGCACTAGATGCTACTTACTTCACAAACTACTGCCCAGGGTCTATTCCTCCCTTTTCTAAGCAAGCAAAAGCCAGTCTTCAATACCATCTGTGGGTTGGGTCTCTCTTAGTCAAGCTTCAAGCCAGAGCATGGCAGCCTGGTGGATGGCTTCTTCCTGGTCATAAAAAAGGGAAGGACATCCATACTCATAACTCCTACTGCTGGACCTGTCTTCAACATTTGATTCTATTGATCACCAAATACTTGTGTCACATCCCTGATGGGATACAGAAGTTCCTGGGGCAAATGGAAGTTCCCTGAAATGGTTTAGGTCTTTTCTCTACAACAGTTTCTCCACTTCCAGAGTTCTCAACTATGGAATCCCACAAGGCTCATGTTTCTCTCCAGTTTTGCTCAACATTTACTCAGCCTGTTGGAGATCTAGGAAGACAACATAGCCTGAAGTGTCATCAGTATGCAGACGTAATCTTGGTCTTCATCTGCTTTACATAGAATAAACAGTGCCTTGCTAAAACTGGCACCTGGATGAAGAATAACCTGATAAAGCAGAACCCAAACAAGACTGAGGTGAAGTGTCGTCACTTTGAAGAACATGCCTCCTCTATAATATTCCCCACTATTGAGGGACCTGCTCTCAGACTATTAAACTTGTCAGCAATCTTGGTCCTTTTCAACACCTCATTGCTATAGTATGATAGATAAGCAATACCCAGCATTTGTAGTTGTAAAATCTGCTCACTACCATCTATACCAATAATAATAATATATGGAGATATACCTATCTCATAGAACTGGAAGGGACCTTGAAAGGTCATTGAGTCCAGCCCCCTGCCTTCACTAGCAGAACCAAGTACTGATTTTTGCCCCAGATCCCTAAGTGGCCCCCTCAAGGATTGAACTCACAACCCTAGGTTTAGCAGGCCAATGAGCTGTGTCTGGCCAGAAGACATAGCTCCCTCCTACCAGACACAGCCCTGGCCTCAGTTATCCATGCATTCATGACCTCCAACCTGGGTAACTGCAACTCATATATGCAAGGACAGCAATGCACCTTGGAAAAGCTCCAGTTGGTACAAAATTCAGCCTGTCTGCTTAGCAACACAGAAAGGAAGATTGTTATTTCTATTTTTAAGTATCTGGGAGGCACTCAAATACTACACTGAAGCTGGCATATGAGAATCTGAATAGATAAGTATTTCCTATAGACCTGACATGTCTTGCACTGCTGATATAACAGGTATGCCCTGATATTCCATTGAATTAATGTGAATATCCATTTGCAGAATATGCTTAATTATTTCATCCTCCACTATGGAAAAAGGAGGAAAAATCTAAGCAGTAAAATCATACTACCTGGAGGAAGAGAGTACTCTGTCATGAAACAAAGCTCATTGCAGAGCAGCAACCTCCAAATATTAGTTGACTTGCAAGCACTGTAGTATACCGCCAGAATTCTATAGCCAGTTTCCTCTGTTTTAGCTATCTCTGGCACAAAATCATCTGAATTTATTCATTATTTTGAGGTTCTATTTAAAGAAAAAAATCTGTTTGGCTGAGGATGAGTTAGAGGATATAAGAAGCAAGAGCTGAAATGAAGTTATTTTTATAAAATTTGTAACATTCAAGATTTCTCCATGTTCCAGCAGCTAATACTATGCACACAGTGCAATATAAATTATTACTACATCAACAGGGCCTCCGGAGGTACTATTTAACCAAAATCAGCGATAAACAAGTTGATACGTAACAAATCCATTCAGTGGAATGCAGATTCCGCTTTAGTCCTCCACACTCAAAGCAGTTCCAGACACAATAAAGGCTACCCTAGGTGTTCCTTTTAAGTAAACAATTCAAACTGGTTGGAAATTTTGTGATGTAACTGTTTTGTTGGGGAAAAAATGCTGATTTGTTGAATCTGAAATGTGCTGCAGAAGATGTTTGGGTTTGACAAATTTGTAGCATCCCAGGCAGGGTTCCGATGAAACTCTGTCTGTCAGGCAGGTTTTTGTCAAAAGACAGCCGTACCATGCCAAGGCTGTCAGGCTCCCTGAGGTGGAGCTGGGAGTCTGAATGTCCTGGGAACACTGGTTCTAACCCAGGCTAGGCTCTAACCCAGTCTTGGCTGCCTGCTCCACAGCAGGGAACCTGGCAGCCCTAGGAGATCCAGCTCTAGGCTCCTGGCTCCACTGGAGGGAACCTGG